AGGAGGGCTGTGCGATCAATTTCAAAAAAAAAAAAAATTACCAATAGGCTGTTACTACTTTCAATATATCTAATGCAAATAAATAAATAATGCAATAGCTTCATCCAATTTACCTAATCTCCAGAGTTCAGCTTAAACTAAACAACCAATGTTATTGTTCCTACAGACCAGGTAGTGTCACGTACATTTGCATCAAGTATCAGAGAATTAAACTGCTCCCTTGATTTCACCGTCTGCTTAAGCTTCTCCCCGGTCTGGTTTGATCGTAAGAAACAAACTCAATGCAGGAAATGAATTGACAAGTCTTTATTCGCACCCTAATAATTACCTGATACTGTGCCATTATGGGTCATAAAAAAAAAAACACACAAGTGTGTCCTTACTTTAAAAGAGGCATTACGACAACTTAACAACGGACACAAAAAAATTGTTTCCTGAAATCTCGGTTGGGGAGGGGCTCAACATACTGCAAAGAGGACAAAACCTTTAGTGTGGTATTCAGATTAGCTCTGAGAACAGCAGGACATTTTAAAAAAAAATCAGCAGCAGCTCCAACTTTTACAACATCTCGCCAGGATACTAGATCCCGGGATCAAGATGCGTCATATTTTTAGCAAAAAGGGGCGTTTTTTTTTTTTTTTTTTTGGGGTGGGGGGTGAAAGTCTAAACTATATCTAAATACATGACAGTCAACATAATTTGCATTCATACACTGGACTGGACTGTTTGCCTACAATGAAGCCATGAGAGGTTAGCGTAAACTTTGATCAGTTAACGTCGAAGAACAAAATCATCCCGCTAGAGGACTTCTCGCCGAGAGCTAATGTGCGTACGGACGAACGTGGTCGTTGCATGTCCGGCGTTTCTCTTACTTCACTGTACCCATGAAACTTGAGGAAGAGCATTTGCTTAAATGTGGCTATAGTATAATGTATGCAAGTATCCCTGCGTTTCAGGAAAATGAAGAGAAATGTGCATGTATGAACGTCAAGTTTTAAATGTTATCAATAATCAGACTCGAGTGATTTTGGCGCACGTTTACTTTTATATATATACACACACACACACACGAGAGTCCTTCTATTGGTGTGCACACTGCACTCCTGGGCCGTGGTGGCCCCCTTCCTCATCAGAACTATCGTTATAGGCCTCTTTCCTGCCTCCGCCTGCAGATCCTTGACTCCTGTCATAATCTGTCAGGTCAACCTCCTCTGCATCGGCTGCAATAACCGGAGTCTCAGCTCGAGCAGGCAGCAAGCACTCCAGTTCCTAAAAAAAAAAAA